CTATGATTTTCAATTTTCTTGCATGATCTTGATCTGAACACATTAGGTCCCAAAGATGACCAATTCCCAATGATATGATATCCTCCAATGCTCCCTTCCTCTCCACATGTTAGCTGGTTATACCATTTGATGTGGATGTCAACATCATCGCAACAAATATTTCGACGGTAGGATGCTAACTGCAGAGAGCCATTAAATGTTTAAATTAAGGGAAACATCTATATATGAATATCCATATTACTTATCTGGCCTGTATAGTTACGAGAGAGAACGACCATCCATCTTTCATTTATTTCGATTATACCCAGGATAAAATTAGATAGTGGCTCAGCCCGCTAATACACTTAGGTGACTTTCCCCAGGTTCGATAAAATGAAACTGAAATTAAGGAACGTAGTAGCATCCACATTGCTATTGGTTGTTAATTCTCTACCAGGCGAACAGATACATATTTATAGGAATCTCATCTGTAGTTGGGAGCCTACAGTTGTCCAACTCTATGTGTAGAGTCCAGGCTTATCTCACCCCAAATGAAGCGGTAGTTGTTCGAAAATGATAGTATAAAAAGGGCAATTGTTTTCGCGTGGAAAAGAGGCAGGAGTCTGATAGGGCGTGAATCAGAAGAATCCAAAGTAACCAATGGAATTACGGGGTCGTAGCCTCTATAGCTAGCGAGGGCTTGGTGAAGCATATTCGCGCAGAGAGCGGGAAACCGGGACACCGTGAAGGATGTCTATCTGGTTGCCTTTGTGCTGGACAAAGATGGAGCTTGCTGGAAATTCTGGGAGGAGCCTATTTACCTCGAACAAAGTTGAGGTTGGTCCATTTAGTATCGTATGATCGGTATCATTGTACAAAATCAAGCTGGGCAAGAAAAAGGGCGACTACGACCACGTCGACGACACCGGCGACGTTGTCTGGGAAGATCTAACCGTCGAGCAGCAAGAGATATAGAATCACACGGCAATGCACACCTCGGGTACGGTCTTCTCAGGTAAAAACGCACCTGAGCCGTGCCGCGATATCCCCTGCTTCTACGTAGTCTAGTAGAATCTGGCCCTGCCGCTAGCTACCTAAGAGTTCTTTGCTTCGAGAATGAACGGGCCTGACACTATCCACCGCCTGCCGAGCTCACATTCGCCGTTCTTGAGTATGCCCGATCGCCTGCTGGGTGTTCTGGGAGAGGTAGTGAAGGTGGGATATGTATTATCGGATCTGGGTATGAAGAATCTCAGTCGATCTCGAGAGAAGTGAGTATCAGAAATGTATGTTTTAAGCGTAACCGAACTCCGGGCCATGCCAGCATGTAATCAGCGAATCCAAATACCCTTTTTACAGGCCCCTTGTCTTCTCTGGATCCATCTCCACTTCGTTTCCGCTGATTTCCTTGACCGACTGGTATGCAGGTTGTCCAGCATATAGCTGTCCCCCAGACGAGCTATTGGATTTCCCACCCTCCATATCCCTGTTTACCGAGATGGGCTGGTTGCCACGGAAGCGCTTGCGCATATCGATCAAACCACGCCTATGCCGAGAAAAATACCAATTATTAGCGAGGATGTTCCTTCGGTCCATAATGGTCGGCCTAGACTCGAGGCTCGGTTCCCGACTCACTTGCACTCGCTGAATCCTTTCCGCAGCTGCTGACATTTCATAGGCAACTCCTCGGCGAGAGGAGAGCTGAGACATTCACGGGGTGTATGACGCTGGACCATAATGCAATCCGACTCCTGGAGGCATTGGGCCAGAGCCTTCCCTAGTTAATCAATTTGTGGTCAGTTTGCGTTATGAGCAATAGAGGGTTGCGGTATAAGGTCCAGCTGGGCTAGAAACGTGACCCTCTCTTAAATAGTTGTGCGACTCGGGTGTGTAACGTACGGATATCATTGCATGAACTGGGCATGTTGACACGACCTTGTGGACGAATGCGCAACCACAAGCAGTAAAAGAGCAAAAGAACGCGGCCGTCCACACGGCAAATTCGGGCTGTCAGATATCTCGACGCTGATTGGTGTATGTGGAGAATCCCCGGATGAGATAAGCACCGCTATCACATGTCGATGATGACGTCGAGGGACTTTCATCATTCGTTTTGCGCTTTAAAATGTTTGCTGCATCTCGATTTCTTGCATAAAATCTTCACCTGTACCTGCACATATATGCATGGCAATTGCCGTCCACTATGGCACGAGTCCCATTTATCGGAAGACTGTTCTGGTAAGAAACCCCAAGCTTTAACAAAGGATGCAGCATCTGATCTTCACACCATTAGGTATGAGTACCTAGCTCTCTTCGGGTCTTTGATTCTTGTTCTGCTCGAGACAATAATTCACTTAATAACTTGGTGTCTTCGTCAGTGAAAATCACCCGTGGCTGATATCAACACTAACCCCTAACCAGCAAACCCTATCATTAAATTTTGCTATGGACAATCCAAATCACTTTTCAAGCTTTTGCTCCCTAATGAATCCCACGCCAAGCGCACGAAAGAGGAAATATTTGCCAGCTCCGTTGCAAATGCATCCGATTTCACCGAGATATGTGCTCTGTTCGGGTATCAAGCCGAGGAGCACATTGTACAAACAAACGATGGATACCTTCTTGGACTTCATCGGCTGGCATATCGAAAAGGAGAAGAAGGCATGCGTGTCAATCATGGTCCCAGTGGAATTCGGAAAAAGGTTGTCTACCTCCACCATGGCCTGCTCATGTCAAGTGAGGTGTGGGTAGCCTTGACAAACGAGCAGCGGTGCCTGCCCTTCCAGCTGGTAGAAAAAGGATACGATGTATGGCTGGGGAACAACCGTGGAAATAAATACTCCAAGAAGTCGATCCGATTCTCTCCTGGTTCCAACGAATTCTGGGATTTCTCTATTGATCAGTTCGCCTTCTCTGATATCCCCAACAGCATCGAGTACATCCTCGAGGCAACAGATCAGCCGTCGTTGTCTTACATTGGATTCTCCCAGGGAACAGCGCAGGCGTTCGCTACACTCGCTATTCATCCATTGCTCAACCAGAAGATTGATGTGTTTGTGGCACTTGCACCCGCCATGGCTCCTTCGGGTCTCCGAAATCGGATTGTTGATTCACTGATGAAAGCGTCCCCGGACTTTTTGTTCCTGCTGTTTGGTCGACGCAGCATCCTGTCGTCGACAACCATGTGGCAAACGATACTCTACCCGCCAATCTTTGTGCGCATCATCGACACAGCCCTCAGAGCCCTCTTTAACTGGAAATGTCGCAACATCAGTCGAACACAAAAGTTTGCTGCTTATTTGCATCTTTATTCCTTCACCAGCACCAAGTCTGTCGTGCATTGGTTCCAAATCATTCGGAATAAGAGTTTCCAGTTCTACGATGATGAAATCTATGCCCCCTTCAGCATGACTGCCAGCGAGCGCTTTTACAAGCCGGTCAAATACCCTACTCGCAACATCAAGACTCCCATTGTCCTCCTGTACGGTGACAGCGACAGTCTCGTTGATATCGGAGTGATGCTGAAGGGGTTACCACACGACACTGTCGCCCAAGCGATTCCAACCTACGAGCATCTAGACTTTTTGTGGGCCTCCGACGTTGACTGCCAAGTCTTCGGCTATGTGTTCAATGCGCTGGAAACCTATAGCCGGGGTGGCCCGTCGGCTGGCAGCAGTACGGGGTCTGAGAAACACGAGCTTTTAACCGACGGCCGTGTTTCCAATACAAAGGCTGTCCGAAAATCCTCCGTCTTTCCCAGTGATGTCGCCTTCGGGGCCACTCCCTGAACAGTGTTACCTTTACATGTACAACATACAAGATACAAAATTTCGTCTGGATGAGCGGGGTCATGGCTTGGCGGGTAAATCGCCACAGCCGTCCTCGGGTATATTGAGGGAATTATGGGATACATTTGTACGGTACCGATTCATGAAAATATGGTCTGTTGAGTGGACGGTGTACAGATTGCCACCTGTCCAGGGCTTGGCGTGATAACTTCCCGAGTTTTCTAGGAATCCGATGCCTAAATACACCGGAGTGGCGTCAAGAGGTGGGAAGCTCCGAACTTCCCGCGTGCCTAACCATGTAACCAACGTAGAGTATCAGAAAATAAAACTACGATGACCCAATCTCGTATCCACGGCCTAGACACACTAGGCACTATACAAAGGCACTAGGGCTAAAGTGATAATCTAACCGCCTTCCCAACCCGTTTCGGCCTAAGAGATAAGCTTTGATTAAGTCGATCGTTGGAGAACTCGAGGGGATTTACTTATATTGATCCATATTGTGCATAGTAGACAGGCACAGAACATGATAGTCAGGGGCGTTATGGGATGTCAGACAGGTGGCGTAATTCCATAAGCCCAATAGAAAAGAAAGATAAAAAAAATCAAAAGAATCAAAGCGCAGTTGAAAACCTTTTGTCCGAATTCTCGGTGGGCTATGATTCGATCTAGACCTGGCGCCTTCTCCACAATATAGGCTAGCGTTGGCCGAACAAGTCATAACGAACAGCGAAGAATCGAACAATGAAGAAAACTTAAATTTGCGGTTCAGGAACTACGCCACCCATGGAAACATCATTGGCGAATTCATTCGGGTTGGTCCGACCAGATCGCTGTTCCTGACCCTAACAATGGTCACCAATAGGATCATTAGGAACAATACCGTCTAGTCAGGTACCGACCGCATGGACATGGCCAACCCAATCTTATGGCTCAACAGGGCTCTATAGCCTGTCAAACGCCTGCCACACCAAAATCTGACACGCCCAATGCCCTATAGTCCATTTACTCCACTCCAAAGAATAAAATGCCGCTATGCCCACCTTCTCCTCCTTCTTTCTCTCCATCACGTTCTTTCGAATCACACTCATTTGGATTCTTACCCTGGGGTTGAGCCTCATTACACTATCTTTAACAGTCTGTAGATCAGACTAAAGTCCTTCTTTCAAAGTCCCTTCTTTTAAAGACGACCTCAACACTTTCTCTCTCCAATATCAAATTCATTAAGCCAATATGCGCTTCAACGTTATCGGCCTCTCGGCCCTTCTGGCAGCAACTGCCACCGCACTCCCCGTCGCCGTTCGCGACGTCGAAACCGTCTGGGAGACTGTCTATGAAACCGTCTACCAGACTGCTACTTTGGTGGTCAGCGCGCCCACCAACCTCCCCGTCCAGGAGAATGCCATTCTTTCCACCACCTCGACTTGGACCCCCGCTGTCCCTACCACCACCAGCATCCCGACTCAAGTCGTCCCTACCGTTGTGCCCACCGTTGTCCCAACTGCCACCGCCACCCCGTCAAGCACCACCAGTGCTCCCTCCAGCACCGGCAGCGGCGTCTCCATCGTCAACAACCTCTCGCAGACCGTCTACCTGTGGGTTGTGACCGAGAACCCCGGTGAGATGCAGACCCTTGCATCCGGCGAGACCTTCCACGACACCTGGCTCACCAACTCCAACGGCGGCGGTATCTCCATCAAGATGTCCACCACCGAAGTCTGTGACGACGTCCTGCAGTTCGAGTACACCCAGTCCGGTGAAGTCCTCTTCTGGGATATGTCTTCCATCAACCTGTCCAAGACCTCCGAGTTCGTCAATGCCGGATTCGCTGTCACCATCAGCGATGAGTCCTGCCCCACCTCGACCTGCGCTCCTGGTGATGCCTACTGCGTCGAGTCCTACCAGCTCCCTGACGATGTCAATACCTTGGCTTGCGGTATCGATGCCGCCTACACTCTCACTCTGGGTTAGAGCTGCTTGGCTTCTGAATTCTAGGTGTTTAGTCGGATATACCTTTGGGTCACAGGGGGAGTTTTTTATGCTGAACAAATTGCAAGGTACAAAATTACAAAGCACAAATCAGATTTCTTTTTTGGATATAGTTTATAGATGTGAAACGAAAATTGAAAACTCTCAAATATCTCAGACGCCAGTATCATTGAGTCTTTGTAGATAAGTGTTAACAGTACCACACGGTGGATTTCATAGCCTAACTTGATACCTTCACATGTAACCACATGCGTGAGGTTATTACAACGTGGTACAGCGTATGGGCGCATAACAAAAATCATCCGATATCCTTGGCCCCCAATGAGGGGCAATTCATGCTGACGGAGACAAATATGCTATCTACCAAAAGGAACCTTCACCTTGTAAGATAAAGCAATTAGACAGAAAAAAAAGTATTCAACAGCATATAATGAAAGTAAAATCCTAATTTAGTCGGAAATCCAGACCCCCTCTAGGGCTGAACTAGGGCTGATCAGCAATTTAAACTCCAATTTCCATTTCCAGGCTTCGATCCACTCAAGCGAGAGACATCCTTGGCATGCGCAGTACTTTGTACATGAAATACAGCCTAGTAGACAGGCAGCTTGAAAGCAGGGAAAGAGTAAGTCCAGCTATCGATCGAAGCCTTGTCATCAACACAGTCGAACGTGCTGTTACTCTTCCAGAGCGGACGAGTGGGCCACTGGCAAAGCATCTGCGTTTCGCCCTCATAGGTACCAGATGAGACAGTCGCATTCAAACGAGAAGGCTTAACACCATTCTCGACCCAGTCAATCATAGTCAGCATATTAACCTCAGGGAACGGGCCCGGCTGGAGGGCATTCGTGTTACAGTGCGCAGCACCGGGAATGAGGTAGAACTGGTACCAATCGGCGAGTTCCTTAAGACTCTCGCGCGAAGACAGATGCGGGTACATGATCGAGCGGACGGACTGCCAGTAATGCACTGAAGACGCAGCGGGGACACTGGGGTCCGATTCACCGTGGTAGTGTAGCAGTTTTCCGCCGGAGGATTGGAACGGAGTTAGATCCGGGAGGGTAGTTTGAAGACTGTCCATGTAGCGGATCATTCCGATATTCATCCACTCGACGAGGGTGTCGTAGGTGACATTATCGAGGTTGGAGAGGTTGGATAGATCAAGGAGCTGGATGAACTTGGTCACATATTCGCCGCCAGTGGAGAGAATGCTGATTTCCCATTTGCTAGACGCATTGTTCCACTGCGTGTCGCCATCGCTGAGCTCAGAGCCGATTTGCCAGGATAGGTAGGCGCGCTCGCCATTTGAGTTGTGAAGGCCATCGTAGATGGTTTGCGCGACTTTCACACCTTCAGCGGTGACCTTGCCGCTCTGTTCGGGCGTAGTGGAGGTGCTGGTGCCGTCGGCGCGCTTGCTGAAGCCGAAACCTAGGGAGGTGCTGGTTGCTGCTGCGCAGTAGTATTCCTCGCCAATGATGGAGCTCAGGTTGAAATTGAGCTTGCAGAGGTCTGAGCGTGAGATGACGCCGTCGGTTCGGCCGTCGAGGGGATCGCAGGCGGTGATGGTGGCGTTGACTATCTTTGCCAGCTCACAGGGAGGTGGGTAGTAGTCGAGGGTTTGCTCGACTGTAGCTGGGAAGACGTGGTGGACTTGCTGCTGGCCGAAACGGAAGGCTGGGGCTCCGGTGATCGCTCCGTCGTATTCCTCTCCGTAACGCTGGATTTGGCTCATACCCTCGCGGCCGCCGTCAGAACAGCCTTCGTAATAGGTGTAGACCTTGGCGGAGGAAGATATGCCATAGAACCCCTTGGTAAGAGCCTTTCCGATCTTGGTCATTTCGCCTAGAGCTTGGTATCCGAACATGTAGGTTGCATCCCAGTTGAGGGTTCCGTTGCCGTAAAGGACCACGTCGTCGTAGCTGTAGTTGAAGGCATCATAACCTGCGTCGGTGGCACCACTAACAGCACCGTACTCGAGACCACCGGTTGCATCGCTGGACAGAGAGAAACCACCACCACCGGCGACATAGAAGCGCTTCTTGAAGTCGGATGGCTTGGGGAAGGCATACTTGATGACGACGGAGTCTCCCTTGCCAGTGTGCTCGTAGGTGACGGTCACATTGCAGTAGGTGTAGGTCTTGGTGCTCCCCGTACCCGCGCTAGCATTGTAGACGGCACTGGCAGTCACAGCGGAGGGGATCATGTTAATACCGAGCAAAGTGCCATTGGAGGGCAGGGCAGATCGCACATTCGAGACGGTACAGACATCAGCAAGCGAAGCAGCGCTTGCTGATGCTGCCAGGGCTGCAACAGATGCGCCCCAGGAGAGACGCATGTTGAAGTATATCAAATGGATAGATATAAAATGGAATAAATGAGTGTCAAGAAGAAAGTTTAACGAGTGTAAAGACCTAGGGAATTGACAGGAACGCCAGAGGTAACGATACTTATAATATCTTCAGGGCTCTATATAATAATGGTCAGTTTCTAACTTCTAGCTAAAGCACAGATCATGCGTTAACCCGCTGCGTTGCCTGCAATCAAACCATGAAACCATACCTGGAATCGGGGACCAGGCGATGTCGGCGTGGATACTCGATCGTCATCATCTAACACCCATTGCAAGGCACAGTTCAGACTAGGCTCGCAATAGAGCGGGAAGGGAAACGGATCCCCATAGCCCAACGTGTACGGAGTAATTCATTTCCTCAGAGAGAACTTGGCCACCAGTAATGGGCTAGGATGTCGCTAGTTTATTTTCAGTTCGATATGGCCGGGTAAGGTTTATTCCCTTACGCTTAAGTTCTAACTTTAAAATCCATCCATGGTCTAGCGACCGCGTCATTCCCAGGTACGTACGCGTGGTCATCCATGGATCTGGGAAGTATCAGCCTCATGGTCTACGGCAAAACTTCGGCGCTAGCAATTCTAATGTCTATAGAAGAAACGGAGTAGCTATGATTGACTTGCTAAATAACACAGGGGCTAATTACGTGTAACTATTTGAAGAGAAAGGCTAGGTTGCAAGATCTTTCGCTTCAATCCTTTTCCACTAGTCGTTCAGCTTTGGCACTTCTTCGGAATATCAACATCCGGCTCATTCTATTTGGTTGGCAATGCGCTGACTGGGTTAAATGTCTTTTCGTCCTCCTCCTGTTGTCAAGTAGCAGTCTGGCGCTAACTGAATACTCTGTCGAAACAGATCCATGATCCACATTCATAGCCATCGTTATCTACTTAATGAGGTAGACCCATGAGACTTGCAACAGGAGTTCCTTGTTTGAATTCTCCTCCTGGACAGCTGGATACTGTACCCACACACTCAATGCCGCTAATTGGCATCCATTCGGCCCTTCTCTTTTTCGCATTATTGATGCCAAAGGCTTTGATTTGTATTATGACTTCTCCTTGCATTGGCTTTAGACCTTTTTTTTGGGGTCTTCCGAAGAGTTTGTATCTCATCCCATAACCAGGTCAAGTCGGACTCGTGCACTTTGTTGTGTTGCTCGACAGACCATTCTTTGGTTTTTTAGAAATCGGAGATTATAGAACGGGCTATATCTGCTGATTCCTGGGGTATTGGGGACCAGAGTGTGCATGCAGCCTAGGATTGTTACGCGGGAGTCGGGGATGTCGTATCGTCGTTGGTGGAGTAATACAAGACAAGCATTCATACAAGTTTCATTTTCCAGCTGTTTTGCTTTTTCGAGGGCTCAAGGGAAGGTTGTCTCCTAGAATTGGTGGTTTCCAGGGCCCAAGAAAACTATCTCGAATTTGGATGTTTAGTTTTGTAAGAAGTCACGATAGTTGTTGTCATCTTCCGGGCGGCCAATGTCGCCTGCTAGGATGAGGTATTTCGAGCAAACAGGGATTTCAAAGGAATATTGTTAGTTTATTTCCAGATGTAGATCAGATAGGAGCTAAAATGAGCTAAGAGGGGGATCTCTTGAAAACGGATCGGATCGACTGTAGTGCCATGTTGATAAATGAAAACACGAAACCCAAGGAACTTCAGTAGATATACTGGCATTCGTAGCCATTGAGAGATGAAATACCAAAGCTTATACTGATCATGTGATATCCATGTCTATTGACCTAGTCCCATTATCAACCCCATCTACGCCATCTACGCCATATAAGCGCCACCAGAAACCTGCCAAGTCTGCCCAGTCAACCACTGCGACTCAGAACTAGCAATCAAAGACGCAACCCCAGCAACATCCTCAACTTCTCCAGGCCGACCTAGCGGAGACCACTTGCTCAAAGCCTCGTCGATCTGCTGGGGAGTCATCTTGTCACCACCGGGGATATACTTCGCCGACATCTCAGCATACATATCAGTCTTGACGCCGCCAGCAGCAATGCAGTTGACAGTGATGTTTCGCGGACCAAAATCCATCGCAAGACACTTGGTCATACCCTGTACAGCCGCTTTAGAGGCAGCATAAACAGCATGACGAGGGACGCCCTAAACCACATACGAAGTTGTCAGCTTCCATGCAATACAATGCATCAAAACACTAAAATCCCACGACTCTGTGTGTGTGTGTGTGTGCACTCCTCTCACCTTCACAGCTGAAATCGATGAAGTCAACATAACCCGTCCATAATCCTCCATGAAACGGTAAGCCTGCTGAGCGACGAAGTATTGTCCTTTGACATTAACCGCAAAGACAGCGTCGATATCGCTACCCTTGACCTCAGAGAGATCCCCGAAATGCTCGATGCCTGAGTTGCTAACTGCGATGTCGAGACGGCCGAATTCGCGGTGCACAGTCTCGAACATGGTTTTCACCTCTTCTTCCTGTGAGACATCGGCTTTGAGGGCGAGGGCGCGCACGCCTAGGGCACGGATCTGCTCGACGATGGCCTCGGCTGCGGTGGCATTGGAGTGGTAGTTTATGGCTATGTCTGCTCCACGATGGGCGAATTTGAGGGCTATTGCGGCGCCGATGCCGCGGCTGGAGCCTGTGACTGTTGTTTTT